GGCGGGAGCGCCGCCGTGCTCCCAAGCGGTGCACTGTAGCAGTGCGCCACCGGGCTGGCCCATATATCCTTGCTTTTAAAACCAACTTATTTTTGCAATTACCTCCTCCCTATCTCTTACAAAATCTAACCAAACACAGAAAAACATGGTGTTCATATATACAGGAAAATGTTAGAAAACAGAAAACAGACATGGTAAGGAAATGTCAAGTGATTAATAACAGGTGGACTGAAGGTCTGGATTGTATTTCATTTCCAGCATATTTTATTGATACCATTTTTGCTTCCAGTATTGCTTTCAATTACATAGCATTTGATAGGGGATGAGAAATTTCTTAAGGCTAAATGTAATAATAAAAACCAAAATAGGAGATACGCTGTTATCATTATTGCAGATAAGTTCCACATGGGATTGACCTAATACACTGGTGAAAAACAAATCAAAAACTCGAATTTGTTCCTGCAGGGCCCATGTTGAGTCCCACCTCCCAGCTCATGTTCCATTTTAGTTTTTAGTGCTTTCTTCTTCCTCCACAACTGCTTTGCTGTCTGGACAGTGAGTGCTGTGAAAACAGAACCCATTTCCTTGCTGGGGTGATGAAAACAGCATCCCAGAGACTTAACTGTTACCAGACAAATGTGACATCAGCCACACTCAGGGGGGAAGGGACTGTCTGCACTAAGAGTCACTGGATGCGGTGCCCTTTTATTCCTTCAGCCACAGTTCTACCACTTGGAAGGGTAAGCTTTGGTCTTTTAGGTCTCTCTCCTGCAATGTGAGTATTACTCTCAGAAGTGGCTAGAGAGTTCCCAGTGGAGGGACTGAGACCACTCAGGCAGGGCTGCCCAACTCTCTGTGGAGGGTGGTTGCTCCTCGGCTTTCACCAGAGAGCCAGACTCTGTGGAGGGGCCAGGGTCACAAAGGATCTGCCAGTGACCATGAGGAAGAGGGGCCAAATGGTAATAGCAGCACGTGTTGACCACCTAGCTGCATGGCCTGTGCCGTTTCTGTTCGTGAGCCATCCTCGTCCTTAAAGAATATAACTCAGAGATACCATTTTCACTTCCATTGTACAGGGGAGGATGCTGAAGCTTGAGAACTTAGGGACTGTCTCCAAGCTCACCAGGCTAGTAAGTGGCCAGAGCCAAGATTTGAACCTAGGTGGGTTTAATTTCAAAGGCTATTCTGACTTCACTGTACTGTTTTCCACACAGAAACTGCCATCCCATACAGTTCTCCTCTGGCTCACTAGCATCTCCACTGTCAGGTGCTGGGGTAGACGGTGAAGGGACGGACTAACTTCTGCCTGCCTCTTGTTGCTGTCATACATGGGTAGGGGGAGAGGAGGTCAGACAGTTGGCTGCAGCTATGGGCCACGGCTGACTGTCACCCTGGCATGAACTCAGACGCTGCTTGTTTAAGATTTCCACTCATTCCTTCTACATCCACTGAACACCTGTGTGTGTGAGCAAGTGTGTAAGCTGCTGCCCTTGTCTGGGGAGATAGACACCTCAACACGTAATTACAGTACGGTGTGATGAATGCAACGAGATGCAAGGACAAGGGTCCCAGGTGACAGGGAGGGGAGAAAGAAGTAAAGGAAGGCTTCATTCACTGAAGTGGTGCCCCATCAAGGCTTTGAATGTTACTGGGAGAATGACAGCCAAGGGACAGGGGAGATGACCATTCTAGGCAGTGGGAAAGTACTGCTCAGGAATATCAAGTTAAGAATGAATAGTTCAGTAACTGTTCTAAGAAAAAATGACTACAACAGCCAAACTTAAACGTGTATTGTCAGTCATTTAAAAATAGCTCTTAGAACAGTAGAACTAATACAATTCTTTGCTTCCGAATCCTTAACATTAAATTCACCTCAAATAGTAGCTTCCTAATAGTTTGTTTTTAAATTTTACTCTGGTTTACTACGAAAGTGTTTTTGGAATTCTTACCATTCAGCAGGCAATTGTTTTCTCTCTTAAGCTAACACCCACTCCAGCCCCCAGTTAATCCCAGACATGCCTTTAATTTTTCCATTCAACTTTATAATAGGTGTCACTTAAAGTGAATTGAAACAGTTGAGAGCGAGCACCGCACATAAGATGCCGAGTTAGAAACCACAGCCATCCGTACCATTGGTATATAATTTCCTAGAAATAGATTAGATTATGAGAAAGGTGTCCAGGCTAAAAAACAATTTGCTTTTATTAGCTAAAAATATATCTTCCTGAATTTGAAATTATTTAAGGTAGATGATTTCAGTGTGTCTATTCTTCTGCTCACTGGAATAACAGATGAATAGGGCTGGCCCCGTGGCTCACTCGGGAGAGTGCAGCACTGGTAGCGCCGAGGCTGTGGGTTCAGATCCTATATAGGGATGGCCGGTGCGCTCACTGGCTGAGCGTGGTGCAGACCACATCGTGCTGAGGGTTGTGATCCCCTTACTGGTCAAAAAAAAAAAAAAAAAAAAGAAAAAAAAA